TATGCACCTTTTCCCTTCTAAGTATAATAGGCTAATAGATGAAAGAATATGTGAGTAATTTCATAGTACTAACCAAATGATAAAATCTCAGATTAGTTAATCTCACCCTATAATGTTTGATTTCTTGTATTATGTTGTAGAAGTTGTTATGTGTTAATGTTGATATGCAGGTGGAATGTGACTGAAATGTGGGAGAAATTAAGAGGGAAGAGACTAATGTTTGTGGGAGACTCACTGAATAGAGGACAGTGGATATCGATGGTGTGTCTAATGCAATCTGTTATTCCAGCTGATAAGAAGTTCATGACACCACAAGCCCACCTTTCAATATTTAGAGCAGAGGTGAAGTGAACTTATATTCAGTATATGAAATGTATCATTCGACTAAGTGATCTCTAACTTTATATGATGTCAAGTTTAAATGTACTTCTTATCTGTTGATGGTGATGATTACGTCAAGATAATTTAATATCCGTTACTAAATTCAAGTGTTTATCTGTTGATGACAGGAATACAATGCCAGCATAGAGTTTCTTTGGGCTCCACTTCTTGTCGAATCAAATTCTGATGATCCAGTTGATCACAGACTCTCTGAGCGAATACTGCGTCCAGATTCTCTTCTTAGGCATTCATCAGAATGGATGCATGCCGATATATTGGTCTTCAATTCATATCTTTGGTGGAGACAGGGCCCTGTTAAGTTATTGTAAGTATGAACTCTAATTAGGTAATTAGGTCTTGACTTAAAGCAAAAATGCCAAGAACTAATATTTGACTTCTCAGGAAGCTGATAAATGAAAATTTAAAATATATAACGGTGGAAAGGAGGAGTGCCTGATTTCTCTATTGCTATTTTATCTCGGCTGAATTTCCCTATTTCATATTTCTTCAAATTGCAAACTCTCAGCTCACCAGGAACTTTAAAACTATTTATATTTCTAACTTAGAATTAATGGAAATTTCACAAAGAAAAGAGGATTGCATTCTTATCAGTTTTGTTACATTTTTAGATGGAGTTCTGAAGAAAATGGAGTTTGCGAGGAAATAAATGGATTGGGAGGCATGGAGTTAGCTATGGACGCCTGGGCAAATTGGGTGGATTCCAATGTTGATCCTGCGAAGAAGGTCTTTTTTGTCACAATGTCCCCTACGCATTTCACGTAAGTGAGGAGCTCTTCTTTCACTGCTAAAGCTTACTTTGAGTACTTAACTACAAATTGTTAATTATTTGTCAAACGTGACATGAGTTTTTGTTGGATAACAGTGTGCTAGGTGACTCGGCTGTAACAATTCTGAGGCATAGTGCATGAATTTGACTTGATTCTAAACTTTAAAAAAAAATTTATTTTATTTTATATGAACAATTAAGAGAATGAAAGTAGCATCTTTTGTGTATGTTGATTTTTTAATCTAATGTTAAGTAGTTGATGTAAAAGTTTTAGTTAGTTTGTCAATTCAGACCAAATTGGTGAACTGAACAGATCAAAAGTTTGCACAGAGCATAAAGCTCTCAATTTGATTTGCCTATGTGTATTGTTGATAGAATTCCCAGATATCTTGCACTATGACTATTGAGTCCATTCTGTAGGGAATGCTCATGAAGAACCATAATCACTTGTCTTGTGCGTGAACACATTTCTGATTACAAGATTGAATCAGTGCGGAGCAAGGGCAAGTGACCATTCTAATTATCCATTTCTAATACACGTTGGGGTCAAAAGGGCAGTTCAGAACTTTCATGTTCTGCAAATGGGACTAACGGAAATGAGGATGCTGCGGTGGATGTGTGGGCTACTAGGAGAGACAAAATTAGAAATGAGGATCTTCGGGACTTGGTGTGGATGTCTTTCTGTGGTAGACAAGATGAGGGAAGTGAATTGAGATGGTTCATACTTGTGAAGAAGAGAGATGCAAATGCCCTAGTGAGGAGGTGAGAGAGGTTGGCTGTGGTGAGCTTCAGGAGAGGGAGAGGTAGACCAAAAAAACATTGGGAAGAGATGATTTTTTCTGGACATGGTGCTTCTCCAGCCTATTGAGGACATGTCGTTAGATAGAAAGTAATAAAGGTCGCCGGTTAGGGTGTTAAGTTAGTAGTTGAGCGTCGTCTCATTGTCCAGCGTGACTCCTTGCATACTAGTAGTATTAGCACCATCCTCGTACTTTTTAGTCCCTCGATTTCTGCTACTACATGTTGGCTATCATTTTATTTTGTTGTGGTTAATGTTGTTGCTTTTCTCTGTATGCTTTAGAATGCTTTCCCTATTATTTGCTTTATCTTTATTACTTTTGTTTCCTCCTTTTAAATCTGCTTTGATATGTGTTATTTGAGCCGAGGGTCTTTCAGAAACAGTCTCTCTACCTCCTTGAGGTGTGGCTAGGTCTGCGTACATTCTACCCTCCCCCGACCCCTCCTGTGGGGATTTCAGTGGGTCTGTTGTTGGGGTCAAAGGGCCATAATATTTAGTTTTATGTTTTAATACGGCCAGTTGCTGAAATCCAACATGAAAGATTCTTCTTGTGTATTTCCTACCATAAGAAATCAAATCTTTTGTTGTTTTCTTCTTTCAACATTCAGGAAAGGAGAATGGGAACCAGGAAGTGAAGGAAACTGCTACAACGAGAAGCTTCCCTTGAATGGAACATACTGGGGCGTAGATTCCGACTTGCCCACAATGCAGATGGTGGAGAGAACACTCGCTAGGTTAGGCTCAACGGTTAACGTTCTCAACATAACTCAGCTCTCAGATTACAGGAAAGACGGCCACCCTTCTATCTACCGTAAGTTTTGGGAGGCGTTGACTCCTGAGAGATTAGCAGACCCTGCAAGTTACTCGGATTGCATCCATTGGTGCTTGCCTGGCGTGCCTGATGTATGGAATGAACTGCTATTTCAGTTTTTGTGAAAAAACAGGTACACTTTGTAAGTAATCATGCCACTATCGATCCTTGGGAGAAGAAAAAGGAATGTTCACTCCCTTGAACGTATAATGTACATCTCAAAAGAGCATAGAGTGTTTCGTCTGTTAGGTATTGAAGCAAAATCTTGAACCTCAAGGTTTATTACGAAATGCTTCTTTCGTTTGAGTTTGGTTTGATAGTTTGGTGATTCTCGATACAAGTGTTGGTGGGGAGGTAGTGTATGTACCCGCTGAACTAGCTGAGGTTTGCTCAAATGAGTGTATACCACGAACCGTGTACATACATTCATTCATATATGTGAGTTTTGGAAATACTTTAGAGGGAGTAAGATTCATGTGCAAGTTTTTATTTGGTGGTATGGAACAAATGGAAATTGAATGGCTTCTCACTTTTATTCTCAATGATGATAGAACAAATGTATAAAATTTTGTAATTTCCATATCTTCCTAGTACTTGTATTTGTTTTTATTTGTCAAATGTTCAGATGAACCCTTACTAGCTCCGCCTCTGTTTGCATGCCTCCATTACGTTATATAAACGATCAAGCAAACACAACTTTACCCTAGTCTTCTAATTATCTCGTAATTAGTTATCAATATAAGCTAATATCTTGCGAAAACATGCAAGTTTTTTTTTTCTTTCCAAAAATCGTTATCTGTTTATAATTTTTTATTTTATTTATAATAATCATATTATAATGGTACACTCTTTGTAAAATTAGATCATTATAACAAACTTACTCTAATATCCTTGTGCTTAAATATTTTATAATAGCCAAAAAGACAATGTTATATTTTGTTGGAAATATAGCTTTAATAAGTTTCGCTAGTGTAAAGGATTGAACACGTTAAAATTACAGTGTAAACATTGGAAGATGCGATTATTTTTTTTGGTCATTGTTTCCACCAAATTTCATCTTACATTCTTTTAGCCAATGTAAATATGAATATCTTTTGTGATTTTAAATGATTTATCTTTTAAAAAGCAAAAGAACAACAATATATTAGTCTAATAGCACCCAAATGTGTGATTTAGTAATTAGAGATCTCAAATTTAAATTTTAGCATAACTTATAAATTTTAACTTTGATGGATAGAGTGAAGCGACATGTATCCCGCATAATTAGTTGAAATGTGGGCAAACTAATCCAGACAGTCAGACACCATGGTTATCAAATATATATATGATTTTACAAATGAGATCTAAGAAAGATTAGAAGTATGCAAACCTTATTTCTATCTCTATAAAGTAAAGAGATTTATTCTAAAAGATGCTTACCTTTAAAAAGTACTGAATAATTTTTATTTCTAAACAATTTTAATAAAATTTAAAATGTCAAATATCATTATAGTTGTGTACCAATCCATTACGGTAACAAACCAAATAAGGTCCAAAACAAACTATAATGTTAGTACTCCCTCCGTTCTAAAACAAATTAATCATTTCTCCCCATAAAATTTCCAAAATATTAAGATAATATTTATTTTTAAAACGAGGCTTATTTCGAAACAACTAAAAAGTAAAAAATTGGTAAATGGGCTCGTATGAGCCACAAAATTTGGCGCCCTCGAGTGTCAGTACAGTGTACTTACTAAGGTAGTGTACTACTAACAAATTTGAAAATACTTTTCGAAATTTACAATAATCTATCATTAATCGTAAATTTTTTATATATCTTTTAAATATTTTAAATTATTAATTATTGTGATTTATAATACTTTTTACTTAGTTTACAAATATATAAACTTCATTTCATTTTTTTTAAAGATTTCATGCATAAACATCAGATCAAATTTAAATTATTTGACTCTCATAAAATAAAATGTGTTACATAAATTGAGACAAATAAAATATTATCGAAAGATATTTTATATGGTACGGAGTATTTTTACTTGTGCACTTGAATTTTACGGGAGGAGGAGTGCGTATCAAAGAACTTGTATTTCAGCCGTTAATTCAGTTGATAACAAAAACAAAATCAAAAACTCATAATTCACCTTTCTTCTCCACGAATCTAGAAAAACCAGATTCTATTCACCTACATATTTATATACATATATTTTTTTTCTCTATACAATTGAGCAGCCATGGCGTCTAGTCTTTACCACCAATGTATTAATCCCTTATTTACTCAATCTCTTCACCGGAAAAATCAGAATTACAGTTATTTCTGCTACTCTACTAATCAACTAAGAAATAATTATACTAATTGCTCAGCTCGACTCCGAACTACACTCCTCAAATCATCTAGTGACAAAAATCCTAAAACCTTATCACAAAATTCGATTCCTAACTCAAATTCCGATTCCGGCGAAAGTCGGGTCAAGAATTCGGATCCTGACCCGGTACCCGAACCGGATATTCCATCATCGTCATTGTGGGATTCAGTCACTTCCCTGCTGTATTATCTTCAACACACTTGTTTTTGTTAATTATTTATTTTTGTGTTTTCTCCTGATTTGTGGGTTGGGTTATTTGCAGGGAAGTGCTGAAATTGGATGGAATTGGATGGGATATTGTGTCAATTGCGTTGCCCGCAGCGTTAGCTCTTGCTTCTGATCCCATTACTTCACTTGTTGATACTGCATTTGTTGGACATTTAGGTATGATTAGTATCTCCTCTTTGTTATGGTTTAATGTAATATTTGTTCACTTTATGAAATCAATGGATAATTTTATACTTGGTTCTTAATCTACCCTTATAATTAATTATAGTCATTTCTCTATTACATATTTTGAGACATTATATTAATAATATTTAAAAGATGATATAATATTATTACCCTTCTATATATAGTTTCTTAAGAAGTGTGCAAAGTCAATAGTATACAGGTATTGTTGGACAGAGGGAGTAGTTAGTAGGATTAAGATAGAAGATAAAGATATGTTTTACCTATTATTTACAACTTAGTACTCACTCGTCCCAAAATAGTTGTCACATTTCGCTTCCCGAGATTCAGACTATAAGTTGCAATTCATTTGATATTAATAGGTCACATTTCGCTTCCCGAGATTCAAACTATAAGTTGCAATTCATCTGATATTAATTGGTGACAAAATACATTGAAGTGTCAAACAGACACCTAAGCTATCTCCTTTTCTTGAGTTTCACACCTTTACTATTGGGAGTGTGAGCGTTTGAGAAACACACCTCAAGTTATATGTGATGGTATGTGTATTAAACTCTTTTTTTTAAAATAAAATAAAATTGTCACGTGGAAAACAATTCCACCGAGGCAAAAGGTTAAAAGTTAAAATGAAGAACAAATCAAATTAGCCTCTGAAAGAATAAAAAATGGAGAAGGGAGGAAGAGGAGGAGCTAAGTACTCACACATTTGGTCCAGTCAGCATTGAGGTGTGTTTCTCAAACTTAAGTGATAGTTTAGGTGTGTTTCTCACACTTCCAACAGTTTAGGTATCAAACTCAAAAAAATGATTAGTTTAGGTGTGTTTTTGACACTTAATTCTTAAAATGTTGGTTAAATTTCATGTAGTTTGATTTTCAAGAGGCACAATATGACAAGTATTTTGGAACGGAAGGGGGCAAGTGTTAAGATACTACTCTTCTGAGATGGCTGAAAAAAAGTAGGAGAGAATTAAAAATATTTTGAAATGATAAAGTGCAACATACTGGTTCATGTTTGTGTTACTTATCTATGCATGTGTTTTGTAGGATCTGTTGAATTGGCAGCAGTAGGTATTTCGGTATCAGTTTTCAACCTCATCTCGAAATTGTTCAATGTTCCTTTGCTCAACGTCACAACTTCATTCGTTGCTGAAGAGCAGGCATTAATTGCTAAAGGTGACAATGATTTTTTGTCGAAGCATCTCGTGTTAATTTGTCAAACATTGTTTGTCGCTGATATGAGTTATATTTTTGTTCTTAAACTAGATAGCTCACCTGATTCACAAAGCAAGATACTACTTCCTTCAGTATCAACTTCTTTACTACTTGCCCTCGGCCTTGGCATTGTGGAAGCTGTTGGACTTTTTGTTGGCTCCGGTTTCCTGATGAATACCATGGGTATATCTGTTGTATGTCTTAATTTGGAAATCAATTTTATCTTCTAGCATGAGGCCTAACTTCTTGGATTTATGCTTCCCCTTATGTTGTGTATTGCTGTTTGCTAAAGATATTCAGTGTAAGTCTATTTGGGCTTGTTGATGTGTCACAGGATTCACCGATGCGTGCACCAGCTGAGCAATTCCTTACGATGAGGGCATTTGGAGCTCCACCAGTCGTTATTGCACTTGCTGCTCAAGGAACATTTCGTGGATTTAAGGACACAAAAACTCCTTTATATGCTGTTGGCAAGTATCAATGATGCCCAATTACTTCTCTGATCTACATAAAGCAAATCCAAGTGAAATCAATACTGACATGTTGTGCCTGATAATCCGGTTTCATAAATATTATTTATAGATTTTTGGCTGATAACTGCTTCTAGCTGTAAAGTTTTTGTTTAGATATTAATTTCACAAATTCATTAGTAAAGTTGAGATAAAAATGTTTTGTTTACGTGTAGCCCTTTTAGTTGAGCCCTATGCTTTTCATATTAAGCCTCAATATACAATAAGTTTTCCTACATAAGTATAGTTACAAACATATAGGTAGAAGGCACTACTTTAGACGTTTGACTTCATTTAAATTCATACGTCTTGGCGAAGTAGGGATAAGACCAGCTTTTATTGAAGACTTCTTTAGCTCACTCAACGACGGAGAAACTACTCTGGGACAGTGTTATCAAAAGCAGAAAGAGAAAAAAACTCTAAGGTCTGTTGAGGCTTTAAGTGCAAATAAAACATGGGCTTTAATGAAATATGGCTCAAAGGGAGAAAAATTACAAACATATGAACAAAGAAATTGAAAAAAATCACGATAAAGTGAAATATCAATTGTTTTAGTGTAACCTCTTCAGAAGAGGCTCATTGGCAAGGAAAAGTATGCCGTAGAATCGCTCAACACGTTTTGAGCCTCGCTTCATGGCCTAAGCGCATCTTTGACAATATTGCTCTAGGGGATGCTACTACCTTATGAGATGTACCTAGAGTATGGCTTTATATCAACGAAGTATTGTCGTTGCTCGATGGAAAGCCCCCTCCCTGGCAACCCCACCCCCCTCAGTATGGCCTGATAAATAGGACTTTTTTTTAGTTATGTCTCAAATGTTTGAGTAAAATATTGATACTTCTACTTCCATATCTGACAAAGGAGTTCTGGATTGTCAGGAGGTGGTAACTTGCTAAATGCATTATTGTCTCCAATTTTGATATTCACCTTTGGTTTTGGCGTTAGTGGTGCTGCAATTGCTGGTGTGATTTCTGAGTATGTTGTTGGCGGTAAACCAAACCGTAGCTACTCTATACATGATTAACTTGCTGTCCATTTTCTTTGTCTTATTTTTTTGTTTGATCAACATTTTTACCAGATACTTGACTGCTTCTATCCTTCTGTGGAAATTAAACGGGAAAGTTCTTCTTATTGCTCCAGACGTTAACGTGGGAAAATTTCCTCAGTATCTTAAATCTGGTACTTTCTTGGTAACTCTTGAAACAACACCTGAATCAGGATACATTTGGTGGTTAACAAAGAGAGTTTTGATAAAAGGACTCCCCTTTTGTGTGAATAATCTGTTTGACACTACATTCAAATGTGTCCTACTGAATCTCCTATTGCAGCAGCTAGTGAAACTTGAGTATAGCTGCATATAAAGATATTTATCCACAGTTGAAGTGACTACTTTAGATTAAAAATATTTTTTCAAGATTTGATATGAATTTCATTTACATTTGAAGATAGAGTAAGGGTGAAATGACGAGTATACATCAAATTTAAGTTAGAAAAACAATTTTGCATGAGATCCAAAGTAATGACAAGTATTTTGCATGATATATCTCTAATATGATATACAAGCTTTTGGTTAAGTTCAAGTCCATTTTAATTTTGCATTTGTTGAGCATATTCTTTTTAGGCATGGAAAATTAGTATTTGGATAGAGCACCTTATGTTGCAAAAGGAAACCTAACACACTAAGGCTTTCATGTACCAAACACATAAACGAGCATTTGGTCTTTGAGTGACTGCAGAAATTTTTGCATGTCCGAAGCCCGTCAAATGATAATTAAGAGCGTCTCTTGTGGACTTTATCAGAATATATTGAAATTCTCTTATCTTTTTCAAAATAAAAAGATCAAACGTTTCTTAGGTTAAGCTTGTTCTTGTCTTTTCTAGGTGCACTTCTAATAGGGAGGACTTTAGCACTTCTAATTACCACTACGCTGTCAACGGCTCTGGCAGCACGAGAGGGCCCCGTGCCTATGGCTGGTCATCAGATATGTGTTGAAGTTTGGCTAGCAGTATCTTTGCTAACTGATGCCTTGGCACTTGCCGGGCAGGTGAGTATACTTTAACTTAACGTATTTGTTTTCTCTGCTGTCATTTCTGACTTTACTTAATAATTTTTAGAAAGTTTGCTCAGCAGCTCTAATTTACGTCTCAATAAAATTCATTTTTATTAGTGATTAGGACCTCAATGTGGCTCCCTGTAACAAATGGAAGTATCATATGACTCTTGAATTTCTTCTTTTAATTTTTAATCTTTTTGGTTACCAATGAAGTCACAGGATTTTCTTTAACAGAGGTTCACAACGAGATTATAGTTAGTGTCCTATTCGGATAATTTCCATTGAATTATTGCTTTCAATCATTAGTTATGATATATGAGTTTAATCTTTCGTTTTCTTAAATATTGCATTCTTATTCTGTTGATCTTTAGGCTCTCCTTGCCGGTGGAGTTTCTCAAGGTAATTATCGCCAAGCACGCGAAGTGGTTTATAAAGTTCTACAGGTAACTTTCATTCTTGCTCCCGCAGTAGTCTTTATCGACTTTCAACTATGATTACTGACTTAGCTTTTAAGAGAAAACAGGAATAATAGAAACACTGACCTGCTACATCTTTTATTCATTATGTGAAAATCTTGTCAGATTGGTGCATTGACAGGAGTTGCCTTGGGTTTTAGCTTGTTCGTTGGTTTTGGAGCACTCTCCGCCTTATTCAGCACGGACTCTGAAGTTGTGGAAATTGCCAAATCTGGTACTCTGGTATGAAAATCTTATCCAGATTCCCTCAGCATACTTCCCTTAGGATTTTGAACCCCAAACAGTGCATGTTCCCCTAAGTTTACGTTAAGACTACAATTCCTACTTTGCACCAGCTAGGTAATTTCGATATCATGAAATAGTTTTGGTCATTTATAGATGTAATTACATGGCTGTCATTTCTAACCTTGTACAGAGCTGTCAGGTTTTGTTATCCGGATTAACTTTGATATTTAAATGATAAACTACTTAATTCTTTTCTTATTACTATGATCTATTGGACAGTTTGTTGCTGGATCTCAGCCAGTAAATGCCATTGCCTTCGTTCTTGATGGGCTCTATTATGGTGTTTCAGACTTCGAATTTGCTGCATATTCTATGGTAAGCATTATGGCACATCACTGTTTTTTTTTTTGGAGAATCATGATCTGCGATACCAGAAATAAAGACTTCAAAACTTTGCATTAATTGAATCTCTCTTAGTGGAAAATTAAAAGGGGAAAAAAGTTAGCAGAGTCTATATGGTTCAATGAGGTGATCAGAGTGTCAAACAAAAAGAAATCGTTACATGATATTTGCATTTCTGGTTAGGTTAATGCTTTGTCAGTAACAAAACCTTGTAAGAAGACGTTTGGAACGAAAAGTCTAGAGAAGAGCAAAAAAAAGGATCAAGCAATAAGTTGTCCTGGAAGCTGATTACACATAGTAATGAATTGTTGTCCCATTATTTGAAGCATAGCCACACTGTGCTACAGCTGCTAGGGGTATGTGCAGCAATGAATGAAGTAAAGCCGAGAACATACATATCAATTTGAGTTAGCCGGGTTTTAGCCAATCAATGAGATGCTTCTTGAACATTCTTGAATCGGTGTAGCTAATTGAATTCAATGCAAGCACCAATATAGGAAAAAAATAACGATAGTGGCTTTGGAGTGTGTCCTACATTGTGACAAACATTTAAAATATCATCAGACTATAACCCCTCCTTCTGATTCAGCTTCGTGTCTTTGACAAACAGTTTGTGATTGGAATAATCTCCTCAATCTTCTTACTTGTGGCTGCACCATTGTTCGGTCTTCCTGGCGTCTGGGCGGGACTCTTTCTCTTTGTTGCCTTGCGTGTTGTAGCTGGACTTTGGAGGTAAATCTCTCATGTCTATCTCTTTCGCCAACCTTTGAGAGTGGTAATTTTATGAATTGAACCAAGTTGCATATACTGTTACTTTTCATTATAGACTTTTTGACAAGTACTTGTGAATACTAGGCTACAAACAAGAGATGGACCATGGAAATTTCTTCGGACGGATATGGAACAGGATAGTGTCTGACTTTCAATGAGCAAGTAATTGATTCTCTATAACGATCGGGGGATACTCTATTAGGCTTATGCCAAGGATGGCGCGAATTGCTGATGATCATACATCATCCAGGCATTTGCAGATCTTGGCAAAATTGAACTCCTGATATCCGGACAGATAATTCTACAGTACAGGCTTGTCAATTTCATCCATCTCTTTGGTCAGTCTCTACTGAGGGGTTGACGATTTATCCTCGAGATTGCTATTGTGGAGGTTTGAAGAATCCATGATCAAGCTACATCATCTCTATGACCACTAACTTGGGAATCTTTTTCGCCATTTTTCTTCGATTTGTGAAATAATTCAAAAGAGAGAGAGAGTTCGACTTCGACCAAGTGATCCTTGTAAAGTTGAACAGTTTATAACTTGACACATACAATTGTATGCTAATGTAAAAGTTTCATTCTTCATGTACTCTCTATTTCTGGATAAGTCCATTTGCCTTCTTGCTCTGCAGTCTCATTTTTCAAGATTTCGTATCCCCTTGTAAAGGCTCGTGATAATGCTCTTGTGGAACTAGGCTTGTGTGAGAATGTTGAATTGTGTGACCATTTGGTATTTCTTTTGTGGTGTTAAAAGCTGAAGTAGGGGAGCAAATCCAACTAGAAAAACTCACATTGGGCTTAGGGATAATCAGACTCAAACTGATGAACAACTAAGTTATATTAGAGAGAGCATATTTTGAATTGTGTGATTATTCCATCGAAAACATTAAGTTGTTAGAAAACACATTTTTATTTACTTAATTACGTATTCAAACAGAGAGAAACTTTGGTAAGCTACAATATCTGCTACATCATGCATGCAATAGGAGGAACAGAGATTTCAATTGCAGTTCTAGTCCAAAATTACCATCTTATCTTTTTTTCCCTCATGGACAAAGTTATTCCGTACCTATAATGGTAAAAGGTAGGAGGTACACTATGAAATAGTCAAGGTGCATGCAAGTTGGCCTTAGACACCACGATTAAAAAAAGAGAGGCCAAATATGTCCTTAAACTACATGAAATTATTTGACACATGATAAACGAACATATTAAAACCAAAAGTATCCAACTCTCTCTACATTAAAGTTCACATTATGTGTAGGGAACTTTAAATTGTCGCCTTTAAGGTATAGTACATAATTTTCTAAACCAAAAAGTTGGTGGGGCTTCAAATTACAACATGTCTTCTTTTGAATTATTCAAATTACACATGGAGATATGGAAATTTCAAACCGGCAAATAATGTGCTTTATGATTGAGAAGGACAGATGAAAATACAATATAATGCAAGATCTAATTGGTTTGGCCAAGTTTTTAGGAGGCCAAAAACGTTTTTTTTTAATTGAATACAATGCGAGATATAGTTGGTTTGGTTGTTTGGGCCCATATATAGTTGATTTGGCAAAGCTTTTAGGAGCCCAAAAACGTCTTTTTTTAATACAAGGTAAGATATAGTTAGTTTGGTCCCAGCAGTGGAGTCAATATTTTTATTAAGGGTGACAAAATATAAAGTAAAAAAGTATATGCTGCTATTAGGAATAGAGAATATACAACCTCAAGCAGTTCTCACAATCCCTTAACTACTACACTAAGTGGTGTTTGGATGCCTTATTTTTAGTGACTTTTGGCTTTCAAGTTATTTTTTTCAAGTTTTGAAAGTGTTTGGATAACTCAAAAAATGCTTGTAAGCACATTTTTAAGACCGAAAAAGTAGAAAAAAAAGAAGAAGTCAAAAGTTGGGTTTTCCCAACTTATGATTTATAAATTTTAATTTATAAGTCACTTAAAAAATACTCAATTCAAACACACCCCCTAAACCTTCAGCTTGTATTAAGAGGTGTCAACACTTGTATATATACTCATTAAATCAAATTTTGACACATATATACAATGTAATTTTTCGACGAAGGGGTGTCACTTGACACCCCTTGCCCAAGGGTAGCTCCGCCCCTGGGTTTGGTAAAACTTTTAGGAGGCCAAAAACGTTTTTTTTTTATAATAAAGAAACGAGGTGTTTAACCAAGCTCTTGGGAGAAAGTAAGTATTTTCAAGAAGTAGCCGGCACTATTTTTCAGAAGCTTAAAATAACAGTTTTTTCCCCAAAAGCAATAATTGTTGGGTAATGTCAATACCCTGCATATGGTAAGACCCACGAGGGGCTGGTTGGTCCGGATCGGATTCATGATCGATCATGATGCTTGCTTGGTGGACTTAGTTAAGAAATAAAATTTTGTATTTACTATCATTTATAGTTTTTTGCATGATGGTAAGCGTTTGATCCTAATTTGTGGTATCAGAGCCAATGTCGTGAGTTCGATTTCCCAAGAGCAACATTCTGCATGATGTAGGTGTTGGAAGAAGAATTGTTAGGTAATGCCAACATTCTGCCTATGACAAAGCCCACAAAGGGCTGGGTGACCCGAATCGGAGTCATGATCGACATGCCAAATCTACAAATCTATTATTTTTTTAAAAATGAACACCCCCACCCCCACAAACCCCTCCAATAAAAAAGGGGTAAAACAAATGCCTTATTTTATGCGGTTGTGATTCTCGTATTTAATCTTCTTGAGTTACTCCCTCGTCCAACAATAGTTATCCACTATACTAAAAATAGTTGTCCGACAATACTTGTCCAATTTAGAAGATCAAAAGATAATTTACCTTTTGTGTCTATTTTACCCTTATTATTAAATACTCCCTCTGTCCCTAATTACTTGTCCACTTTTTCTTTTATAGTTGTCCCTAATTACTTGTCCATTTTGACAAATCAAGAAATGACAAAAGCAATTTTCCTATTATACCCTCAATTAATTACTTTGAAAAAAGTAGAATTTTTTGAAAATATTAATTTTTTAATTCATCCACTTCATAATTAATAGGGGTAAAATGGTAAACTCACTATGTCAATAATTGTTTTCTTAATAGGTGTGTTAATTCAAAAGTAGACAAGTAATTAGGGACAGAGGGAGTATATTTATCATCTAACACATTTTTTAAAACATTAAATTTAATAAAGTCAAAGAATAATATAATAATATGGGAAGTGCTAAATGGCAAAAAATTTGGCCAGAAAATTAAAAAAACTATAATATTTTTTTTATTTTAAAATAAATTGATATTTTTTCTATTTTTTAGTTAAAAGGGTAAAAATGTTTAAAAAGGTAAAATAACATAGATAAAATATCATTCTAGCCAAAAAAAAATTTCCTAATAATATTACCCCTATTATTTATTGTTTCTTAAGGGATGTGTCAAGTCAATAGTGGACAACTATTATTGGACAGAGAGAGTATATAATATGCGAATTTAAACTAATTAAATTAGTGAATATCGAAAATCACATATTATACTAAAAAAACAATAATATATTTTATATTTTCAATTTATTTTTAAAACTCTAATCTTATGATTAAGGGCTAGCTCACTCGACATGAATTCTATCTTCTCCAATGTATTATCCCCTTTCCCTTTTAATCCATCTTCCCACCCCCACCCACTGCAATACAAATAATCTTTAACTGTATTTAATTAACGATAATAGCTTAATTGTCATTAAATATGTATTTTTAGTGGTAATTAATAATTTTTGTAAATGTCCCTAAAATCTATAGCGACATTGGATCTAATGGCAACTAACTAATGCCGGTAAAATTTTTAGCACTCTTTATTAATGTGCATGTTTATTGCCACTAAAAATTATTTTTGTTGTAGTAACCCCACTCCAAAAATATATTTTTTCAAAAAAGAAAAGAAACTCTAACCTTGTTATAATGTTGTATACAATTTATGAAAAATTTATAATAGATTACCATGTTTGTATATTGGCAAGCGAAATATACAAATGTACGGAATTTTGAAAAATTCTTAAATGTATAAATACATAATTTCTATATATTTACCTTGTTTGTATATTCACAAGCGAAATATACAAACTGCAACCTCCATTTATATATATATTTACCCTGTTTGTATATTTGCAAGCGAAATATACAAACGGGCAAGCGAAATATACAAACGAGCAAGCGAAATATACGTAGTCTTCATTTGTATATACTTACTCTGTTTGTATATTTGCAAGTGAAATATACATATTGTAGCCTCCATAACAAACATAACTATATCTATGAATCATAATTATCAAAACTATAGCTATAAAATTTTATTATGTCTATTATCTTTGTTATTTCTGAAATTTTGTAAAAAAAAAAAAAAAAAAAACTCTAACCTTGTTATATAATATTGCACCTATAAAGGGGCCCAATTTTGAAGTATAGATTTGATGTGTCTTATAAATCATTTTAAAGTGACATGTTTTGAGTGCTACTTGCAACACATGTTGGTTACAATAATTTCTAATTTTATTTTATTTTATACGGCTACACATATAGTTATTTATTTATTGTAGAATAATGGGCAGCCATTTGTCTCATTCATTATTAATTATATAAGCCATACACGTATGTTAGTTGAACAATTCAAGAAAAAAAGAAGATAGGCAAAAGTCCAGCACGAAAAAACGTGACAATATATTTCATATGAATATAATGGAAACACAAATAAACTTTTATGGGAAACAAAAGTTGGACCATAATAAGTGGCACAACGTTATCGAGTTTGTCACTTCAATCCTCCATTTTCACATTAGGAAGTTTTCGAATTAGCTTAACAGAAATCTCAATTTTGAGTTTTGAATATAAAAAGAGTTACGCTAAAAAAATATTTCCTTCTTAAATAAGCTTTATGTGAAGTACATTCAGATTGACCAGACCCTTACATGTACACCTACTGAATTTCGAGTCAGAAAACACAGAACAGAGGAAATACACATAAATCTCCTTAAAGATGTGTTTGTATTTTTAAATGGTGTTGAATGCTTCTGATCAATAGACTGAGTTGGAGTACATGCACAAAAGCTTGTAAGGGTCCTGCTGGTCTCTGTGCTTAGTCTTAAAAATATGGCACATTAATCAAGAAAATAATAATAATAAAATCTTCTTAAATTATTTATTCCACTCTATTTTTTAACTAATAAGATGAACATTATTACTTCTTTTTTTTCCAGTTGAGATGCACAACAGTAATTTAAACAGCCATCTTCTTCTATTTACTTAAATGCTTTTTTAAATTTTTAAAAAAAAATTAGAGCAGCCATTCAAGAAGAACTTGTGCTATATTTCAGTATTGTCATCATTTACAAATCCACTATTGGTGGCTTCTCCTTATATATATAATTATTACTCACTCTGTCCACTTTTAATTATCAATTGCGTTTTTCGAAAGTCAATTTGATTAATTTTTAAAGTTAAATTAGATTACACTAATTCG